TCACATAAGTTGGGGGATGGGGATGACATTCATCGTGAGAAATGGCAAGCACCCAGATGCCAAAATTTTGCCACCACCCCCAGACATGCCACCTTGTTGAAGCCCTACAAGATTTCTTTAAAATTGTGTCTCACTTGTTTTGTAGTACCACCAATTAGATTGCATTGATTTTTGAAGTGTGTTTTTTTTGTTCTTAAATTGGAATTGTATCTCTGATTAAGTCCCTTAAAATAACGCAAAGTTCACTTCCGAACAATAAATTCGTATTCGTTCTCTGTTCATAATTGTTTTTGTGATAGATCGCAAACTTTCTTTCCATCTGTTTCATCACAGGGTACGTCTCAAGCAAATAGTTCACCTAATGAGGTTACTGAGATATTTGAAGACCAGTCTAATCAGGGCAGACAAGGAGACCCTAGAAATACTGCAAGCATAATGGAGAATAGGAAGGACATTGTCGTAAGTGAGTAAGGGGAAGATAATCCCCAGATCACCAAGAAGCAGGGGAGTAATGCAAACAGTAGCGACACAAGGCAGTAGAGCAATACTGCAGAAGTCCTGCAGTAGGATAACCAGATAACCTCCATTAATGTACAAGCATCCCCCAAGCCTGCACAACAGATTTTGCCTTTGTCCTCCTCGAATAGGTTTGGTAGCCTTGGGATAGGGGAAGGTGAACTAACAATTGAGCTTAATACTAATGCCAATAGCAAGGAGGAAGAATCAATTAAATTGAAGGATAAATTACATTTACACCACCTAAACTATCACCTTTTTTCACTTTGTCCCCTCAACTACCAGATTTCTCACATTGCACTTTTAACTATTACTTTTGCTTCACATTGCCCTAATCACAGATGTCTGTTATATTTTTGAACAAAAATCACTGACGTATCGGAGTAAGGTAAAAAAAATTACATAGTTTGGAGGGCAAAATGAAATAAATTTTCGTTAAATATTAAACAAACATTAATAATTTGGGTAATGTGAAACTAATCACATAGTTAAGGGTGCAATGTGAGAAATCTGATAGTTTAGAGGGAAAAGTGGAAAAATGTGATAATTTAGGGGGTGTAAGTATAATTTACCCTAAGTTGAGTAAGTTAATTCCCACCAACAAGAAGAAGGTGTCACTCCAAGGATCTCTTAAGTTGTCTGAGCAACTTTGGCTCACGAAATGATCAACTGATAATGAGGACATCAAACAATCTTGCTTATCTCTGCAATATGCATTAATAGGCAAGTGTGCCTATGGTAGACAAAGTATAGGCGTGATTAGAGAGGTGATAAGGTCTAAATGGGGTTTGAGAGGTGAATTTGAAATTGGTTCAATAGATCCAAGGCACGTGTTGATACGTTTTGAAAAACAGGAGGATTATGTGAAAACGTGGTTGAAAGATGCTACTATCATAGAGGATTATTTATTCAGATTCTTTAAATGGTTTCCTGTTTTTGTATCAAGGATTGAGCCATCCATTGTGCCTGTGTGGATATCATTAATTGGATTGCCTCTTAATTTTTTCAAGAAATTGTTTTTGGATTTGCTAGTAAAACTCATTGGCAAAGATTTGGCATATGATCAAGCGACACTCTCGTTGTCTAGGCCGGGGATAGCAAGGGTATGTGTGGAGGTCAATCTACTTGCAAATAATCCAAATAGAATTTGGATTGATATGGGAGTTGAGGATGCAAGATGGCAGTGGATAGTATATGAAAAGAACAAGAAATTCTATAAAGGTTGCAGGAAACAGGGCCATGAGGAACTTGAATGCAGGAGGAAGAAACCAATGGAGCAATTGATGGTCTCAGAAGGAAAGAATCCAGTCACAGAATTAGCAGAAGGCGAAAAGGAAACTAAGGACAAGAGCAATAGAAAGAATTCTGTAGAGGCAAGTGCAGAGCAGATTAAGGGGAAGGAAATAATGCAAAATTCAAATTCTGGGAAAACAAATAAGGAAACAGCTTATTAAGGAAAATCTCAGCCGCAGTGAAAGCACTCAAAGCCAGCACAACAGTGGAGGAGGGAAGAAGCAACAACAGCTTAAGCAAGTCAATAACCCAATAAAGGAAACAACAGTCACTTTTGGCAAGGAAATATCTTCGGTAATTACAGAAAGTGACATGGAGAAAGAGAAAACTTTTACAAGATTGGAAAAGGGTGATCATTCGGGTAAAGACAAAATAATGTAGCATGGAAAATATATTCATTCAAAGGAAAGTGTGTAGTTGATAGATTCTAAGAATCCTACGGCATGTGATACACCCTCTAATCAGAACAATGTAGCCAATCCTTTTGATCAAAACAATGATGCCAATCCTCGTGATCAGAACAATGAAACCAATCCTCAGGCCAAAGATTTAGGGAATCCACCATTGTCTAAGTTAGCTTCGATACTAGAAAAAGAGGATCATGAACAAAATCTTATGAACACCAACCATCACTCAGAAATCCAAGAACCGCAGATTGTAAATGAAATCAATCCCACTGATCAAGAATTAACGAAAAATCAAGTTACATCAGGCTACGATTCTGCTGCATATAAGTTGGTTAATTTAAATGATGAGGAAGATGAAAATGAATTTTCTATTTCTTCTGAAGATGTCTCAGACGATGGGATAGACAAGTGTTCTTCCTTGTTGGATTATGGTCACTATAAGCAAGATTTTAAATACTTAACAGTGGACGCCGAGGAGAAATCAAAGTCCATTACTCCGGAAATGATGACAGCAGTCCATAAAAATATTCATAGTCAAGGAGAGATAATTCCAAGCATGTCAGGGGAGGAGATTCAAAAAGCCTTGAAGCTAAGAGGAGTTTATTCAAAGGATGACTACGTTAACAGCTCTTCTCTTCATGAGCAATCAAGGGGTTTTTATTCTGATGGGAGGAAGCACCAGTAGTTCAAGAAAATAATTTTAATTTTTTTATGGCATCTTCTAAAAGGTTACTGTCAATATGCAATAAGATTGAGATGCAGAAGAAGAGAAAAGAGGAGGAGTTGTCTCCTTTGGCTTTGACACTTGATAAAGTCAAACCTATAATTATGACAAGATCAAGAACATTCAAGTTGTCAAAGCCAAAGAAATCCTATGGATTTAAATATTATTAATTTTTTATGGATTGGTTCTACTTGATGAGGTCTCCTACAGCCACTACTATTCCAGCATTCCGTCTTTCAGCATTCTTATTACGGTCTTTCAGCTGGGTTATTCGAAGAAAGCAGCAGATTAAAGTTCAGTTGTCCAGTATTGTTTACGATACTATTCATCTAATTTTCTGCTAGACTATCAGCTGACTCATATTCTCTGGACTTTTTGTTCACTGGAGAGGTGATGAAATTAATTTTTGAGGAACACCTTAACCTTTTGAGCATAATTCAACCAAGAGATTGCTAGAGGAAATTTATTTAGGAAATGGGATTTCTCCACTAATTATAGCAGTCATGCCTTAGGGAGAATTTGGGTGGGGTGGAACCCCAAGTCTCTACAGGTCAATAAGCTTTTTGAAACTGATCAAATGATTCATTGTAAAGTCCTGCACCTTGACATCAAAACAAGATTCCATTTGTCTACTATCTATGCTTCTAATGATCAAATTGATAGGAGAAGGCTATGGAGTAATTGGTAGCTCATTCCATCATGGTTAGGGTAGTTATTGGGTCCTCATGGGCAATTTCAACACTATTAGGACCATCCAAGAAAACCATAGAGGGGTCAGTAGATGGTAAGGCAATGGAGGAGTTTGAAACATGCATCCAAGAGGCAGAACTTGTTTAATTAAGATACTCTGGGATTTACTTCACATGGACACATAGAATTCAGGGTGAAGCATGCACTACTAGAAAACTGGACAGAATCCTTGTCAATAGCAATTGGATTCAAAATTTGAAAATTCAGCTGCTCATTTTTTACCACAAGGGTTTCTGATCACAGTCCAACTCTTATTAGGTTCGCAGAATTTATCAACAAGAAGAACTGTCCTTTCAAGTTCTATAAATTTTTGGCAGATAGAGATGGTTTGCTAGAGACTGCTGGAGCTATCTGGGGTGAGGATAATGCCAAAGGCAGCTGGATCAGAATCCTGCAAACACTGCAAGGAGACAATAGGAAAAACAACTTCTAATTGAATATGTTGAAGCTGCATACAATGAAGAAATCTTTTTCAAACAAAAATCAAGAATTCTCTGGCTGAAGGATGGGGATAGAAACACCACATTTTTATTTAAAACCACGACCAGTAGAAGAAACATAAATAAAATTTTGAATCTTGTAAATACAGAAGGAGATTTATTGAAGGTATTAAGGAGATTAAAGAGGAAGCTATAGGTCACTTTCAGAATTTATTGAATAGCAATTCAAAAGGATCTGACCCTAATTTGAGAAACAACCTTCTTAGTTCCCTGGAGATCAAGAAAGTAACTGACCAGCAAGCAGTTGATCTTTGCAGAGAAGTTGAGTCTGAGGAGATAAATCAAGTCTTATTCTCCTTCAATGACATGAAAGCCCCTGGTCCGGACAGTTCTAACTCTTATTTCTTTAAGAAGTCACGACCTGTAATTGAGGAGGATTTTACTGCTGCCGTTTATGAGTTCTTCAGGAATGCAAACCTATTGAAGGAGTTTAATGCAACCATAATTGCCTTGGTACCAAAGTCACCTCAATCCTACCACCATGGGTGACTAGAGACCCATTTCCTATTGTAATATAATTTACAAGGTTATCTCAAAGATCATGGCCAATAGAATCAAGGCAATCCTCCCACACATAATCAGCCCCAACCAGAATGCCTTCATAGTAGGTATGAAGAATGGAAATAATATTTTGTTGTCCCAAAAACTACTTAGAGAGGGATTTCAAAATGCTCTCTTCCCTCTTTTCCCGCCTCTTCCCTTGCTCCTTTGTTCCTTTCTTCCCCTTTAATCGATCTTCTCCAAAATTCCTCCTCTTGTTAATATCTTGATTCTATATCTTCTTTCAAGCTCCCTCATCTCTGTTTACATATGAATTCCCTTGCATCTGCATCTCCTTCCCACCCTGTGGATGGGAATGCACGGAATGGTAGAGTTGCCATTACCACCTCTATTCCCGCATTGATTTGCTCTGATGGTTCCAGAAATGCAGGAATTGTTTCCCCTACTTCCAATGTTCTGCCTGAAGGAACTATTAATGCCCCTCTTCCCACAACTACTGCTAACCCAGTTGTGGAAATCCCTCAAAACCAGGTTAGGCCAGCGATAGTTGCAGGTTCTTGGTGTCAAGTTGTTAAGCAAGGCAAAGAAGCTGCTCAACATCCACAATCGGGTGAGTCTTTCTCAAAGATGAAATTGCAGTACTTTGAACCCATCAAGGACAATGAACGCATTGTGGTTAAACCACCCAAGGAAGTGGTTAACAGGGGGAGCCTTGAATGAGAGACATCTTTGGTTGGGTATTTTGTTGAGAAAAAACTTCCGTACTATGTTGTTAATAATATTGCCCATAGGATTTGGGATAGAATGGGGCTTCTCGAAGTCCTTGCGGACGGAAAGGGTTTCTTTTTCTTCAAATTCATGGATGATATCTCTAGAACTAAGGTCTTTGAAGAGGGTCCATGGCTTTTCTCAGGAAGACCACTCATCCTTAGGAAATGGCATGCAGAACTTATCCTCTCCAAGGAGGATCAATCTGTGATTCCCCTGTGGGTCAAGCTACACAATGTTCCTCTACAATTCTGGAGTGAGGAGGGGTTGAGTTACATTGCTAGTGCAGTTGGTAGGTCCTTGCACGCAGATTCTCTTACTGCTAATAAAAAGAGAATATCTTTTGCTAGAGTTTGTGTTGAAGTTAAGGCTAATACCAAGTTTAAGGAGTCCTTTGATCTACACCTTGATGTTGATGGTGGGTCAGAAATGGTGGAATACCAATGGAAACCTAAATTTTGTTGTTCTTGCAATATCTTTGGGCACAATGAGTCTAGCTGCCCTAGAGTGAAACTCAACAATGAAGGAACTCCTAAGGATGTTGTCCAACATATATCTAAAGGAGATAAAGGAAAGGACAAAATAACTGCCTTGAATGAGTCAAGTGCAATGAGAGAGCAATCCGAAGCTCTTAACAACCTCCAAGCTGCTGAATGCTCTGGTCCTCCCACCTCACTTGTTTTTCCAACTAATGGTACCTTATCTACCATTCTTGAAGATAACCAGGTATCATCTATTTACAATATCACCCCCCATCTGCTGATAGCAATGCCACCCTGGTACTCTCTCCTAACAAGTTCTCTGTCCTTGAAATGGAAGTGGGACAATTAATTATTGAACTTTCACCTAACACCTCTTCCAATTATAGCCAGCATATGGGTGACTGTTGTGTGGTTCTAAATGCAAAACATCAGAAATCATTAAAAAGAAAAAAAGCAAGAAAAAGGGTTCTGAAAAGAACAAAACTAAAGGGTTTGAGCCCCTTAAGCTCAGCAAATCTCTTCTGCAATGATCAGAGTTGCAACTTGGAACATCAGAGGGCTCTACAAGCCCTCTAGACAAGAAGAAATAAGGAAATTTATAAATAGTAACCAATTGGACCTTATTGGGATTTTGAAAACAAGAGTAAGACATGTTAATAAGGCCTTCATTATGAGGCAAGTATTCAGGGATTGGAGTTATGTTGATAATTATAATTGCCATACTTTGGGCAGAATTTGGGTTTCTTGGAATCCAAATAGCCTACAAGTCAGCAGTATTTTTGAGACAGATCAGTTTATTCACTTTCATGTGCAGCACCTAGATAGTAAATCATCTTTTTTCATCTCGGTTGTTTATGCATCTAATGAGGAGCATGGCAAGAAGGACTTATGGAGGAACATCATATATCATGCAGGTGTCTTTGGTTCTGAACCATGGCTACTTCTTGGTGACTTTAACACCATCAGAAGTCTCAATGAAACTAAGGGTTGCTCAGGGAGATGGACTAATTCAATGGAAGATTTTGACACTTGTTTGCAAGATTCAGAACTTGTTGATCTAAGATACTCTGGTTTTCAATTTACTTGGTCAGATATGAAAGTTGAGGGTAGCAGTATCTCAAGAAAACTTGATAGAGCTCTTGTCAATGAAGCCTGGAACAAGATGATCCAGCAGTCAAGTGCTGAATTTTTAGCTCCTGGTGTCTCTGATCACAGCCCAGTTGTGGTCAAAATGAGGGAAGAATTTGGTAAGAGGAGATCTCCTTTCAAATTTTTTAACTACTTGGCAGATAGAGTTGACTTTCTTGAGATGGTCAATCAAGCCTGGGGTGTTAGGGATAATGGATCATACCAATTCCAGTTATGCTGCAAACTCAAAGAGATTTAAGTCTATGCTTAAAGGGAAGAGTACGGACCTAGGTGAAACAACTGCTAGGGCCAATGAAGCCAAATCTGCCCTTAAAATTTACCAAGCCAAACTGGATGCCAGTCAATTTGATCCTAACTTGAGATTGGAGGAGAGACGTCTCCGTTCTAAATACCTGGATGCTGCTAGGAATAAAGAGACTGTCATGAAGCAAAAATCTAGGATTCAATGGTTGAAAGATGGGGATCAAAATACCTCCTTTTTCTTTAAATCTATGATTGACAGGAGGAATAGAAAGAAGATTCTATCCTTGAAAAGAATGGATGGTTCAACTGCTGAAGGGGTTCAAGAGGTCAAAGATGAGGCAGTTGGTTTTTTCCAAAGGCTCTTGGGCTCAATAGGTTCTACCTTTTCATCCACTAAAAGAAGAGAAATGTCCTATGAGATTGTACAAAATAGGCTCACCGATGCACAAGCTGCTGAAATGGAACTTGAGGCCACTCATGAGGAAATCAAGAATACTCTCTTCTCCCTTAAGGAAATGAAAGCTCCTGGGCCTGATGATTACAATGCATACTTTTTTAAAAAGTCTTGGCCTGCTATTGGGGAGCTTGTATGTGCTACAATTCAAGAATTCTTTTCTACTGGTAAGCTCCTCAAGAGCTTAATGCCACCATTTTGGCCCTTGTTCCTAAAATTCCCAACCCAAGCACCATGAGCGAGATTAGGCCTATTTCCTGTTGTAACATCATTTACAAGGTTATCTCCAAAATCATTGCATCTAGAATCAAAAGGATTTTACCTGAGATTATCAATCCTAACCAAGCTGCATTTATTCAAGGTAGAAGTATTGGGGATAACATACTCTTAGCCCAAGAGCTGCTAAGGAACTACCATAACGACAAAGGTTCACCAAGATGTGCCATCAAAATTGACCTCATGAAAGCATTTGATACTCTTGACTGGAACTTCTTACTTGAGACACTTGAAGCCTTTAATTTTCCTAGCAGGTTGAGGACGTGGATTCTTGCTTGCTTATCGTCTCCAAGATTCTTTGTTTGTGTTAATGGTGAGCTGGTTGGTTTCTTTCCTAGCAAAAGGGGGGTTAGGCAGGGGGGCCCATGTCTCCTTACTTATTTGTCATTGCAATGGAGGTGCTTACTCTAATTGTGCAAAAGAATATTTCTCTCCATCCTTTTAAGTTCCATTGGAGATGCAAGAAAATCAAACTCAGCCACTTTGCTTTTACTGATGATCTTCTGATGTTCAGTCATGGTGACCTTACCTCTGTTAAGGTTCTCCATCTTTCATTACAGCAGTTTCAAGCCATCTCTGGACAGTAGATTAGTCTGGGAAAAAGCTTTATCTATCACTGTGGGACTATGCCTGATGTCAAATCCCAAATCTCTCATCTTTTGGGCCTGTCAGAAGGGGTCCTTCCTGTTACATATCTGGGATTCCCCTTATCACATCTAGACTCAAAAAATAGCACTGTGTAGGTCTTGTTGAGAGAATCAGAAAGAGAATTAGTTCCTAGACTAATAGATTGTTGTCTTATGCAAGTAGGCTCCAACTTGTAACCTCTATCATCAACTCTATTCAAGTCTTCCGGTCCTCCCATCTTGCATTACCACAGTCTGTAATTGATAAAATTGAGCAACTCGTGAGGGCTTTTCTATGGAGGGGTGTTGATTTGAAGAACACTGGTGCTAAAGTGGCATGGACTGAGGTTTGCAAACCTAAAGATGAGGGTGGATTGGGCATTAAGAGGCTCAAGGATTGGAATGTTGTCTTGCTTATGAAGCACATTTGGAAATTATTCACTGACAAGCAGGCCTTATGGTCAAGGTGGATTCACTCTTACCATCTAAGAGGGAGAAGTCTTTGGGAAATCAGAGCTACCCCTACGAGCTCTTGGACATGGCAGCATATTTTAAAGCTAAGGGAGGCTATCAGACCTCTCTTGGCTTATAAAATTGGTAATGGTTATGATAATTTTCTATGGCTTGATAGTTGGCATCCTAGTGGGCCTTTATTCCAAAGATGGGGTCATATTCTCATACTTGCCTCTACACTCAATTTGTGTTCCAAAGTTAGCTGCATCATCTCTAGGTCTCAATGGTGCTGGCCCAACTCCTCCTCTCCTACTCTGGCCATGATTGTTGATTATATGCCTGTTTATTCCCCCAACCATCTTGCTGCTGATAGTGTCCTTTGGTCTCTCGCTGCAAATGGTCGTTTTACTACAACTTCTGCTTGGTACTACATCAGAGTTCCTGGACAGAAAATTCCTTGGATGAAGCTTGTTTGGCATACGCATCTCATCCCCAGGATGAGCTTTATCTTATGGCTTGCCATTAGGCAAAGATTATATACCAAGGACAGATCTCTCTTTCTTGCCAATCAGGTGGACTTGCGGTGCATCTTTTGTAGGCAACTCCCTAAGACTCATGTTCATCTCTTTTTGGAGTGCACCTTCTCCCATAGTGTATGGGAATCCATTCTCGCCTGCAGCCAAATTCAGTGGTCCCCTTCTCCTTGGCACTCCCTCATCAACTAAGCTGCTACCCAGTGGAAGGGGAGATCTATGCTCGCTGTCATACTTAAACTTAGCATTGCTTCCAAAGTTTATCATTTATGAATGGAGAGAAACTCCAGAGTGTTCTCAAACCAATTCAGGAACCGCAACTCTCTGATTCAAGTCATCAAACAAGCAGTCAAGGACAAGCTCATGTCTACTAAATTCAAATACTCCACCCAGAATCTAAGGATGTTGTATCTATGGGATCTTTCTCTCAACTGCATAGCATGAACACTGGTTTTCCTTTCCATTGGATGGACAACATCTGCTATTCTTTTTATTGTTGGACTGTATGGGCTGTTCTGTTGGATGGGCTGTGTTGGGGGCTGGTTGCTGGTGCTGTTTTTTGTCTTTGTGCTAGCTGCTGATGCTTGTTAGGTTGCATTATAGTTGCTGCTATGTGGAACTGGATTTTTTTGCTACTATGTGGAGCTGGACTGTGTTTGCCATGCTCTGGGATGCGTTTGTTTGTTATGTGGCTGTCCGTTTGATGTCTTGTGCTTCTATATTGCGATGGGCTGCTCTGCTTTATCCTGTTTTCTTGCTACTACATAGCATATAGTTTCTTTTGTCTACCAATGTATTCTTGTCAACAATTCTGTGGTAGATGCTCTTACTCAGGGCATCTCCTACAAACTTGTGTCTTGAGCCCTGGTTTTTTGGGTTTACTTATTTTGTCTTTGGGTCCCAAGTGACTTCATTGTACATTTTGCGGGTAATTACCCTTGTATATCCGTTTTATTTTTATATACATTTTACCTTCCGAGAAAAAAAAACTACTCAGAGACTACCACAAGCAGAATGGATCCCCCAGGTGTGCTTTCAAGGTAGACATCAAAAAAGCTTATGATATTATTGATTGGAATTCTCTTATGGATATTCTTTCAATCTTTGGGTTTCCTAAAAGGATGAGAAAATGGATTAAACAATGTGTTACCTCGTCTAGATTCTCCATCAATGTTAATGAAGAAGTTGCGAGTTTCTTGTCAAGTTCAAGGGGCTTAAGGCAAGGAGACCCCCTTTCCTCATATTTATTTTTCATGGCAATGGAGATTCTTACTGCTTTCATTAACTAGCAAATCAGTGTCAGTAGGGATTTTAAGTTCCATTGGAAATACAGGAAACTAAAATTATCTCATCTTACCTTTGCCAATGATTTAATGTTGTTCTGTCATGGGGACTTGAAATCAGTTGATATTTTGAAGAAGGCTTTGGACAAGTTTCAATGTGTTTCTGGACTCCAAGCAAATCGATCCAAAAGAAATGTGTACATGGCTGCAGTCCTTGAGCAAGTCAAGAATCAGATCATCGAATTACTGGGCTTCCCAGAGGGCAGTTTTCCTATCAGACCTTGGTGTCCCCTTGATTGCCTCTAGACTCAAATCTTTGCACTGTGAGCCCCTTATTGAGAAACTTGAATCTAGAATAAGGAGCTAGACTAATAGATTTATTTC